ATCAATAACAAATGTTGGCAGGGTTGTGGGGAGAAAGGAACCCTTCTCCATTGTTGGTGGGAGTGCACACTGGTGCCACCACTGTGGAAATCAATATGGAGATATCTCAAAGAGTTAGGATTAGAGGTTCCACTTGACCCAGCCTGCTGGGTATCTTTCCAAAAGAATTAAAAGAATCATACCAGAGTGATGTATGCACACCCATATCTATAGCAGCACAGTTTGTAATAGCTAAAACTTGGAAACAGCCTATTTTCCCTTCAGTTGGAGACTGGATAAAGAAGATGTGTTTTTTCTATAAAATGGAATACTACTCAGCCATAAAGAATGAAAAATTAGAGTCATTCATAAGAAAATGGAGGCATAGTGAAGATATACTCTTAAGTGAAATAAATAAGTCACACTTATTTAAATACTGAATAGTTTCTCTGGTGTGAAAAACTATAATCATAAATAAGATCCTAATGGTATAATTTACAATGTGTAATTGCAACAAAAGTGCTAAAGGTTTAGGGGAAGTGGGAAGGGTAGGGGAAAGGAAATAGGGAAAAGAAAAAAATATGAGAAAATGAAAAAATGGAAATAAAGTATTTGTAAATAGATATGGGAGGAGGGGTGAAGGGAGGGCAGGGACAGGGGAAAAACTGAGAACCAAGACCTGTCATGTAAAGGTACAAGATCCCAATGATGAATGCAACTGTACTGTATACCTAAAATGTACCAATAAACTCAATAAGGAAAAAAAAAGAAATAGGAGATTGCCAAGAGAGGCTCAGTGACAGAAATTATCAGCTTAAAACAAAGAAAATTATGATTAAAACAAAGCATTCTATAAAAAGATAGATATGTACCATAGCAACAGAATGTTGAAGGGAAAAAAAAAAAAAAAAAAAAAAAAAAAGACTGATAGGAAAAAATAAGCCAAGTATTAACTACTGGAAAAAAGAGATTCACAAAAAAGGATGATAAGTGAATACACTGGTTCCACACCGAACAGTGTTAACAGTCATAGTAATATAAACACTGACAAAGAAATAAAATATAATTACATTCAGAAAATCAGGCAGTAAGAAAATTTTGTCATTCATTGTCAAAGAGAAATATAGCAAATTTGAAAACTGAAAATCAGGGCCGGGATTTAGCTCGGTGGTTTCACCACCTGCCTGGCAAGCACAAGGGCCCGAGTTCAATCCCCAGTACCAAGAAAAAAAAAGAAAATCAACAACTAGCAATATAAGCCAGGCAAGGTAGCACCGGCCTGAAATCCCAGCACTTAGGAGACTGAAACAGAAGGATCTCAAGTTTAATAGTCTGGGCTATTAAATAGTTCAAGGCCAGCTTTTACTACAGTGTCTCAAAAAAACAAAAAAGCAAAGTAAAACAAAAAATTAGCAATATAAAACATACATGACTACATAAGAGCTCTCCAAGATGACCATGTTCTAATAACCAAAACCTGTGAGTGCTGCTCTACACGGCACAGAAGACTGCAGGTCTGTGTATGCATAGTGAGACAGGGAGATCACCCAGAACAATCAGGTGTGTCCCTGTAAGAGAAAGGCAGAGTGAGACCTCATGACAGAGGAACAGGCGTGACAGGGGAAGCAGAAATCAGAACACTGTGCCTTGAAGATGAAAGAAGGCTGCACAGAGAAAAATACAACTAGAAGATGAAAAAACAAGAGAGCTCAGGTTTCCTCGAACTCCCAAAAGGAAGGAATCCTACTAACACCATGACTTTCGCTCAGTGAAACTAATTTTGGACTTTTGCCTCCCAGAACTAACAGAGAATAAATGTAAGCTGTTTTAAGTCATTATATTTGTGGTAAGCAGTTACAGTGGCAACGGGGGCGGGGGAGGAGGAGGAGGAGGAAGAAGAAAAAAAAGACTTCTAGAACCTCCAGAAGGAATGCAGCCCACAAATACCTTGAGTTTAGCCATTTGCACCCATTCGACATCTGACCTCCTGAACCATCGACACAATAAATTAGTTATTTCAGGCCAGTAATTTGTGGCAATATGGTTTATCTGCAATAAGAAACGAAGATATGCTAGAATAAGGTTAGTGTTTACATGGTATTATTAAAGAAAAACATGCCCTGCCACATTGGGCACAAACATTTTCAGTCCTCTTATTTGGCAACAGATAGTGGCACTGAAACGTCACCTCCTCCAGACATTCCATATGCAAACTTCTTGCTGTTGCTATAAGAAATGATCACGAACTGGATGTCCAACAGAAACTTACTCTTTCACAGTTCTGAAGGCAGAAGAACAAACATTCAGCAAGTGTGCATGCCTGCTGGAGAGCCTAGGAGAAAACCCACTTGCATCCTCCAGCTTCTGAAAACTGCTGGCTTTTGAAGTGTTACAATTTATTTCACATCTCCCTTTCTCTTCCGCACTTGTGTCCCTTCAGTCTGTGGCACATTTCTGTCTCTTCCTCATAAAGACAATAATTGGGTGCAGAGACTGCCCACATAATCCAGGTCACTTCCTTCCCTTCCAAACAACTCCTTAACTCCTTGAATTCTCCTTGATCACACCTCCTCTGAAGATCCTTAAGTATATTTTGGGGGAACATGTATGGTAACAGTCACAGGTTTCAGGGATTAGGATGTGGATATTTTGTTTTGAGGGTCACATGCAACTCAATACAACTTACAACCATCAACGTACTGAGTCAATGAACACATACTGAAGTCCCTTTGTACCTAGCTCTGTGATGAGTAAAGAATGAACACAGATAAAGAATCCTTGTCCTGAAGGAAGTGATAATAGAATAAGACAGGAAGATAAGAGTCTAGCACCAGGTTTATGAGAGCACATACGAAGGAGCAGCTAAACTCATTCAGAAAAGGAAAACTCCTTTCCCCTTCACCCTACTCCACTTGTGGGAATACTATTAGAACTGAGATCCATTGGTTAATATCATATTGACTCTCTTAATATGCTGCGACAAATAAGTCATAATAGATAGCTAAGGATACTAGTTCATTAATTTTCTACCTTTTAGGAATAAAACTGATAGCTGAGTAAAAGAAGTACTGAGGAATAAAAATTAAAAGGACGAAATACAGGAAAATTTAAATTACAGCAAAGGAACACTGAGAAATAAGATGAAGAACAAACATACTCAGTCTTCTTTACCACAGGCAACAACAAACTATAATTTAAAAGGTTTCTGATATTCTTTAACTCAGATTTCTTATTTTGTCCTATGACCAAGGTTTTCCTGCACCAGAAGAGAGATCTTAATTATCAGTCATAGAACTTAAAAGAAACATTCTTTATTGAACACAAAAACCTGAGCACAAAATACTATTGTTACTATATTCCACAACATCTCTTTATAAAAGCTGCCTATCTCATAAAGCTAAACTTCACAAGTTATATAAGAAATGGGTCACTTACATAAACTATAGGAACTAAAAAATAACTCTAAGTAAAGTCTAGGTCTTTCCCCTCAATTTTCTCAAATCAACTCCCTTTCTCTATATTTTACTTATTATTGGTCACACTTAAGTCCCCACAATTGTACATACTTTTCAAAAATACTCTATCATATATGTCCCACTAGGATACTCTGTACCTAATTGTCCTTAAACTCAAAGCAAAAGCAGCAGTGGCTCCTAGTGGCCAATTTATAACAGGTATATTTTTTCTATCATAATTCTTATATTTTCATAAATGATTTCTACAATTGTAAGAATCTTACTAGATGTTACAGGATTATGGAAAAAGTTATCAAAACAATATTTAACTTTAATCTGTGATGTTGCACTTGATGACAATAAGAAATTATAAGGTATGCTATTCCACTCAACGAAGAGTCTTTAAGATAAAATGCATTATTTAACACTATTATGTGTTTGCTGTGGTTGGGCCCTTTTGGGACTCCTATTGGAGTTAAATCCCAATTATGAGGTGAAAACTTAAACTAATGTTAAGAGACAGACTTTATGGAAGGTGATTACAATAAGACACAGAGACCCTGTGATTGAACACTGCTAACTTTATAACAGGACAGAGACCAGATACATTTGTGTGGCTAAATGATTATTAATTTTATGGTATATTTGAACACAGCCATAGAAAACTAATATTCTACCCTAAGTCAAATGATAAGTCCTCACCCCATCCATTTATTTTTCTTCAAAATGCAGTACCTTTAAACAAACTTTAAAATGTATTTTGTTTATAAATATAAATTTCTTCAATGTACATTCCATAAAAAAAGGGTTATCTATTTTGTTCAGTTTTCAGAGCCCGGTAAATGATTAAGTACTCAAATATTTGCTGAATAAACATTCAATAGCACTATAAATATATATTAATATCTACAAAGAATTATTGCTAAGGATGATGCTGATGGTGATAAAAATGTCATTAAAGAAAAACTTGATATACAATCAGTTTATATTCAGTGATGTATATGTATAGCTATGCATTAATTTCTCTCAAAACACCTTTATTAGCCAGTCTGAATATTTCTTACTAATTGCAACAGTTTCTTTCTGTTGTTGGTTTTTTGGTTTTTGTTTTCTGTGATGCAATGGATCAGAACCCACAGATTTTCACACACTACACAAACACACTACTACTGAGCTATCCTTAGCCCATAGCTTTTTTTTTATTTATTTATTTTTGGTTTCAGGGATCAAACTCGGGACCTTGTGCTTATGAAGCAGGCAGCAGAACCACTGAACTAAATCCCCAGCTCATAGCTTTTTAATTTACACAATTTTGGTAACTGAGGAGACATTAAATATGCAATTAATTATGCATTAAATATGCAATTTTTAAAATTATTAATTAGAATATCCTATCATACCTATAAATTCAGAAAATAATATACACAAAGCATTTCCTTCCTGACAAAAAACTTTCAAGTTTGAAACATTAAAAAAAAACTGGTAATTATTAGCAAATCTCTTATACCATCATCTTTCATCAAAGAGTAAAAAATAGACTTTTGGGTTAAAAAAAGATTTATCTACCTGATCCAGGAGTAGTAGATGTAACTCCAAGAGGACTCTGCATTACTGAAATGTTTGTCTACATGAAAACGGAAGAAAATGTTAAGGTAAAAATATAAAGTTCTAACCATACCACAAAGTATTAATTACTAAAAGGCTTTGCTCAATATATAACTTAACTTCTATCAGACTCTAGAGTTGCCTCCAATAAGCTCACAGTGACAAAGATACTCTCACTTTTTCTTTTTTTTTTTAAATAGAGCAGTACTAGCGCCTTTAGCATATTATACTTGCTTAAAATACTGGGTTTAACAAAACACTATTTTTTATAGAAGTTACACGGCAGCTATTCAGTTTTAGTTCCTAATGGTTGGTATTTGAAATAACGGACATAGTAGTGATTCTTCAAATCACCAAATCCAGACAGAAAATTCGAAAGGTGCAAAGCTTTATTTTTAAACATTTACAATGAATATTATAGATTCAAATATACCTCCCAACTTATGCCAATAAAAAGATAAAAAACTGGAAAATTATCATTACTAGCTCCTTAAATAGGATTAAAGATTAAACATTCTTCAAAAAAATACACTATACATAAAAAGAGAAGAAATTCACTACAAATATACACGTGTAGTTTTTTTAAAAAAACCAATTCTGATTAAGAAAACTGAAATCTAGATATGTCCAGTAACCAGAACTAAATATTAAGAGAATGTTATGACAGACACAAATTTTATTCAATTTTTGATGCCAAGCTCTTTCATGAACAAAAGTTTCTAAAAGTTCCAGAGACAACTATTTCTGGCTCTAATGTAGCAGCAACTTGCATACCAACCTTAAAGTGAAAAAAAAGATTCTCTTTCAATTTTGACCTATCATTTTTTAAATGCTTTAAATATCACAGTAACTGTAAACTACCTTTCATTATGATTCTGAGATAATGAAACAGCATAAATTTAGAAGCCAATGGTTCCATACCAAACTAAACATTCAACTTATTTAAACTTTAGAACTATCAGGATGGTCTTGATTCAGTAAGTGTAGACACCACTGTCCACTAGGAATATAACCCATGCCACACACATAATTCTGAGTCCTTAGGAGGCACATTATAATATATAAACAGGTGAAACTCGGAATGATTTAACCTCACAGTCAAAATATTATTTCAATGTGTAATCAATACAAAAACCTAACAAGATACTTACACTCTTTATAAATCTTCAAACTCAATTTGTATTTTATACTTTATGGTATACCTCAGTTAGAACTAGCCCCATTTAAAAGTGTCCATTGCCCCACTTGGCTATAATGGAGAAGAAGGTAAGTCCAGATTGTTAGAAAGAGAAAGTAATCTGTTTGACATCATGAATTCTGAGGTATACCATGGCAGATGCAGTAACCCTATAAATAGTAAAAGTTCACTGAAAGATGCTTTTTAATATTCTTAGGCTCTCAAACAACTGCACTACATTTGATAAAGGGAAGGCATAAAATGTGTCTCCAAATCCTAGTTTCATCTGTGATAAAATGAAGCTCATAACAGCCACATCAGAGAGTCACAGTTGGGACCAAACGAGACACTAATGGAAGTTCTAAGCTTAGGGCCTACACAGTAAGCAAGTGATTTTGAAGTATTAAATACTTTCTTGTTACTGTTAATCCCTTCAAAACAAAGAATCTCTGCCTTCACTCTAATTCATGACTGAAAAGAACACTATCATAAAACCTACAACAACAAAAATGCAGCACGACCATCAGATCACCAACACCAGGAGACACTGAACAATCAGCTCATAAATATGCAGGAGGCAGTATTTTAGTAAAATAAGTAAACACTGAATACAGTATAAAAAGATACTGGTCTTGCTAGGAAGAGTGACATGTGCCTACAACCCCAGCACACTGGGAGGCTGAGGTATGAAAAACACAAGTTCAAGGCCAGCCTGGGAAGCTTAGTGAGAAATAAAAATATATCTTAAAGCCGGGTGTGGTGGCACACGCCCATAATCCCAGCACTGGGGAGACTGAGGCAGGAGGATGCTGTGAGTTGAGACCAGCCTGGGCTACATAGTGAGTTCCAGGTCAGTCTCAACTACATAGTGAGGCTCTGACTCAAAAAACCAAAAAAAAAAAAAAAAAAAAAAAAAAAAAAAAAAAACAACAACAAAAATAGATTTTAAAAAGGGAGAAGGGAGTGGCACCTAGGAATGCAGCTCAGTGCAAAGGCTGCAGTTCAATCCTCAGTACCACACACACACATACCCACCAAAGACACTGGTCTTATACTGATATATACATAAGTAAAATTTCTGAATCATTACCAAGTGCTCTACCTCAGAATAAAACTTAATTTTCATTTGCTCTTTCACACAATATGCATAAATATTGAGCTTCCTAAATAAATGGAAGGACTTAAGCCATAATTATATTTTATGTGTACATTAAGTAGGTTGGAGACACAAGTAGGTTGTTAAGACATACTTCTAAAAGCCAAAGAATTACCTACATAGAAAACACTCTAAAGTTCCATTATATTTTAACACATTTCATAGTAAAAGCAATTTAAGTAGATTATACGACAAAGAGACTTACTGCTTATTCTGTACAACACAGTTACACAGAACAGACCTTAGAGAAATTATTAACCTTTACTATGCAGCCATATAAACACACAAAATGACTAGTTACGGGCCACAAGGTTACGTATGTCACCTGTCTTCTTGAAGTTAAAGGTGTCGATCCAAGGCCTGGGCTAGAAATGTCATCATATATACTTCTAACTGGTGGAGCTCCACTTTTGTCTTTATGAGCTGGTACAACTGGTTGTGGTGGTGACCCACCTACAATACACAAAAATAGACAGATGAGGGAACAAAGGAATGTCATTTGTCCAGTAAAATCTTTAGGTTTTGTGTTTTTCGAACTACTGACAAGCTCATGCCTGCATGGGCTGATGCAAGCTTCAATATAGCATAGCATAGCAGGCCCCCGGGTCTCCCTCTAAGCCATTAGAGTAAAGCAGGGCTAGCCCAGTCTTCCTAGTGCCCAGGTGAAGCCAGTGTTGCTGACCCCAGATTTGAAGAAAGATATCAGAATGTACAGTTAATAGAAACTTCAGCTATAGGAAACACATGTAACATTTACTTTCTCCACAAACTGCTTAACATTTCTATGTAACATGTGATCCCACAGCAAGACACCGTGGCCCACACCTGGAGACCCAGTTACTTAAAAGTGAAGGTGAGAGGATGGCTTGGATCCCACCAGGGCAACACAGCAAAAGAGTGGCTCAAAAAACAAACCAGGGCTGGGGGTAAAGCTCAGTGGTAGATCATTTGTCCAGAATGGGCAAGAACTGGGTTCAAGCCCCAGTAACAGGAAAAAAAAAATGTAATCCATTTTCTCACAGTGAAAGTAAGTATTCTTTAAAAGTATGACGCGAGAGCTGGGAATTTAGCTCAGTGGTGCTGCCACCTGCCTGGCAAGCACAAGGTTCTGAGTTTGATCCTCGGTATAAAAAAAAAAGGTTGAGGCCAGCCGGGGATTTAGCTCAGTGGTTTCACTGCCTGCCTCTCAAGTGGAAGGATCCAAGTTATATCCCCCAGTACCAAACAACAACAACAACAACAAAGGTTGAGGCTATAAGATTACAATTTCAAGTCAAGCCTGGACATCTTTGCAACTTGGCAAAGCCCTGTCTCAAGTTTTTAAAAAACAGCTACAGATTTAGGTCAATGTGAAGGCCTTGAGTTAAATTCCCAGTCCCACAAAGAAAAGAAAAGGAAAATTTTAAAAGGAAAAAAAGAAAAGAAATAGGTATTTAAAAACTCCACTCTGTGTATACTTGAATAATTATAATCTCCCAACATGGAATTGGACCAGCAAAATTAAACAGATCCCATCTATGTTTCTCACAGTAGAAACATATTTAAGCAGGTAATAAAGACGTAGAAAAAACAGTGTGTAACATGGAGTATCTCTGTAACTCAGATTACCAGCAGTGCTAAACAGTACAGCAAGGCTACCTAGAGCACAATCAATGGGATGAATGACCTGGAATGTAACAACCTGCTCTTTACTAATAAGTGAGCTTCAGCCAACTACTTACTATATTCAGCTTCAGGTTCTTCCTTTGGAAATAGAGCAACACTATTTTTTGAAATATTGAGATACTACCTACCCTTTAAAGCTGATCTTTAAAAACTAATAATGCAATGATTAGCATATTGCCTGGCACTCAGTATATGGTAAAGAGATAAAAAAAACACATCTGAAATTTAAAAACTGTCCAGAAAATAATGTGAAGTGAATTACTTCAAATGTAATTTATAATTCTACCTCACTGATCCTTCAAAAGGGTAATAAACTATTTCATACCAACTAATACTTTAAAGGGCAATTAAAGAAGTTTCCACTTCAGCATCTATGAAAGGATATTCTCACAGAATTCTTCTATGGTACTTCTTATTACTCAATTAAAACTTCAGCCGGGCGTGGTGGTGCACGCCTATAGTCCCAGCACTCGGGAGACTGAGGCAGGAGGATTGCTGTGAGTTCAAGACCAGCCTGGGCTAAATAGTGAGAGTTCCAGGTCAGTCTCAACTACATAGTGAGACCCTGTCTCAAAAAAACTTCAAAGTTATCTTTTAAGGTGTACTTTGCTAAAAAAAAAAGGTCCTAAAATAAACAAGGTTGCATTCGTTTCAATAATTCTGAGGACTACAAATTCTATGAAAAATAATTTTCAAAATCCTTTCACTAAACGTACTACATATATAGGTGAGAATCTTCTCAATACTATTAGAAGTAGAATTCATCTCCACAAATTTTCATACTAGATTCTTGAGTGTTTTGGTTTTTTGGTACTGTGGATCAAACTCGACCTTACCCTTGCTAGGCAGCGTAGAGCTAAATTTGTTATCCTTGTGTGTTTTGGGGGTTTTTTTTTGTTTTGTTTGTTTGTTTGTTTGTTTTGGTATCAGTCATCAGAACTGTGAACTATGTACTTGTGAGGCATGCGTGGTACCACTGAGCTAAATCCCTGGCCCCTTATTCTTGTATTTTTAACATGAATTATTTAACCTGAATCTAGTTAAATGACAGTATTTCATCGAGTCTAAGAGAACTTCCTCCAACCTGTACTTTGTAACATCTCTGAAATAAGAATACATTTTACAAAAAAGTGGCGTCAGCATTATATAATACATGCGTTTTTCTTTACTGATATTTAAAATAATAGTGAATTTTACAATCAACTGCAGATAAGATCATGATATACAGCACACATACTTTTAATGAGTGATTCTTGAATTATAGTAAATTTTATACTGCTGGTACCTCTATTCCAAGAGCCTTTAAATAAAGGCATTACTTTACAGATACTGTATTGTTTTGGTTTTTTAATTAACAAATGTACTCAGTGTAAATACTGCACCACTACTCTTAAAAATCCTAGAACATGTATAGATATATTTTATGCAGTTTACCTACCAGCCAGTAAAGGTGACCTCATTTCCATCACTCCCACGGAAGAGCCACTAACTGAGCGAGGTTGTGGAGTCACTGGAGCTGGTAAATCCCCCATTAGGAATCCAGGTAAAAACTGAGCATTCACACCTGGCTTTGGAGATGTGGGTGAACCAAGCATCATGGGTTCAGATCCTAAATTAATCGAAAAAAACAAGAAAGTCTTTTCCATTTGCAATGTCTGACAAAAAGATGCAAATCTACCATACAAAATTTTGAGAACACAACCAAAATTCTTAAATAGCATAGAAATATAACTGAACTTATTTTGAAAGACAACAAAAATTATTTCTAGGAAAATGTAAAATCTTCTATTCGCATTAACCTCTGACAGCTGCTTTTATTTCACTAGTTTAAAAATCAACAATTGGGGGGCGGGGGTACTGGGGATTGAACTCAGGTGCTTCAGCTTGCCAGGTAGGAGGTGGAGCCATTGAGCTAAATTCCCAGCCTGCAACAATTATTTTTAAATTGAATAAGTTTCAAATACAAAAAAGTCTCAAATACAAACAGAAAACCTTTTTGGATCAGTTTCTAGTATACAGCAACTAGAAATACGGTGAGAGCAAGTTTCTACACAAAGTCTTAGCAAAACAGAAACAGGCTCAGCTTGCTAAACATCCCAATTCTTCCTACCCAAATACAAAAACAGTGAATCATTTTTATGAGAAAGGTATAATAATGTACATATCACACAACTTATGAAATAACAGTGATAACTAGCATCTTACAAATATACTGAAAAGAGTGCAAGATATTTTTATTTTTTAACATATGCGCTCCCTAATTTAATCAGGTTGGCCTCAAATTTAAGATTCTTCTACCTAGTACCAGGGATGTAGCTCAGCAGCACAGCACTTGCCTGCCTGGCAAGCATGAGGTCCTGAATCTGATCCCTGGTACAAAAAAAAAGATTCTTTTGCCTCAGCCTCCTGTATAGCTGGAATTAAGAGCATGTGCCAGTAAACCTGCCTGGATAATCTTTTTATATCATTAGTTACTAAGTTAGGAATACTATACTTGATACAAGTTTCCTAAATATAAAAACAATTTACAGAGAACTAATTGTCTCTCAGTTATCCACTCAAAATTAATCTTCACAATTTACAGAAAGGATTCATTATGAAGATGAGGAAGCTATAACTGTGGCTAACCTGAGTCCCTACTGAGGCACCAACTGTAGCTGACCCACCAGGCCGCCTCCCTGCCCCAGGTGCCAACCATGGAAAGCCCACCACTCCTCCAAGTTTTCCCCACACAGACACCATTTGTGGGAGACCTAGACCCTCTTCTTTGCTCTCCCTGACCTGGGAATGAACAACGATGAATGACAAGGATACGTGGAGTCAGTTTGACATGCGGGCAACCAGGGGGCTCTGCCCCTAGTAGAGCCAGGACCCCACCCTCCAAACCTGACTCATCCATCTGACCTTTATTCACCTTTATTCATGGTACAAGGGATCAAAGTAACACAAGACTCATCTGCTTTGCAGTATCCATTAGCACATTCTCTGGTAAATAACTTAACCTCAGCTGTCTTAACTTATCCCTAATATGCAATATGCAATCACCCCTAAGTGCAGGCTTTCTGCTTTGTGCTCAGTGCAGGCCAATTAGGCCTCAATTCTCCTCTGGTCTCTCATATATAACATTCTAATTTCCCAGTAAAATAGCACAGTAAGGAAACCGCAGGCTATGGGGTCAGAGATGTGGATTCAAGTTCTGTAAGAAAAACAGGCATAAAGATAGCATCTACTCACAGCTTTCATTAGAAGAATAGCAAATACAGCTCTTGACCTGCTTGCTAAAATATTGTGCTCAATAAATACTAGGCATTGTTTTTCCACCACTAGCTTATGATAGGATAACCTTAGTGATTAATGCAAATGTAGAATTTGAAATTTTGCTTATAAAAATGTTTGTACAAGGTGACAAGCCTGAGTATGACTCATGGGGCTCAGGTCAAATGTTTGGCACAGGCCTATAATCCCAGCTAAGGTGGGGAGGCTAAGGCAGGAAGATACAAATAGGCCAGCCTAGGCTACATAGGAAGAGTCACAAGAGGAAAAAATATATATATAGGCAAACAATTTAAATTGTTTTTATTAACTACTGTATTACTTAGCTTCTAAGTAATCACAGTAATTTATTTTTTGTTTGTTTGTTTTTTTGTTTTTGTTTGTTTGTTTGTTTGTTTTGGAGGCTACTGGAGAACGAACTTTGGACCTTGCACCTTTGAGGCAGCTGGAGGAACCACTGAGCTAAATCCCTGGCCCCCCAAAAAGTTTTCTTGTTACTCAAGCCTGTTAATTTTTTTAAACTAAAGAAAAAAATCCTAATATTAATTCTCTTAGTTCTCATTAGAGTAGACCTATATATTAACAAGACAAGGGTGAAAAGCAAACTCAAAAAAAAGAGGGTGAGGTAAAGTGAAGAACTATCATTACACTGTAATTATTTTGTAGAGTGCTAGCTATTGTTCCATGGTACTACCACATACTTCCAAAGAACATATGCCAAACACAAACCAAAAGTCTAAACAAAATCGTGTATCTGAAGAGATATTTAAAAAACCATAGTAACAAAATAGAAAGTTTTTGGTAACACCACAAACTACCTTCACTCTCCCATTCCGCAAGCAGAAGGAAAAAACATAGCAAGTACAATATAAGAATTATGTCAAGAAAAGTTCTGATATATCTAGATACATATCTGATACAGCAGAAGCAGCAGAGTGCCTGCTCCAGACTCCTGCCACTAACCACTCCTCAGGACTAAATGTCACTTAAAGAAGTGTAAAAATGGATCCTGCATATTGTAAACTTCATTTCATATTCTGAACTTCTAAATAATAAGTAAGGATAGTACTGTGTCTTACATAGCTAGCATTTAATTGAAGTAACCTCTTGACACGCTGGTGGGTGCCGGGAGAGTATTTTATCAATGGATACCAAGAATATCTGCAATATATGGACTTGAATAATTAATATCAGTTAATAACAGATTTATAGATAGGCAATAAACAAAGATGACTCCTGTAACCCCAGCAAGTATGCACAATGTCTACTGAACAGAAAAGCTTTTTAATCTATAAAATACATGAAAATAAATACCTAGACCAACATCTGTATAAAAGTTTTAATACAGCAGAATATTTGCATCATTAAGGGATTATGATATGCTAAGAGTTCAAAAGTTACTCTTCCAGTAAAATTAATTTTTTTTAAAAATTCTCAAAAAGAACTTATTTTATAGAAAACATGAAAGCATTACATGGCCTTCAAGTCTAAAAACCTGATCCTACAACATAAACACAATGCTCATTCTTTACCAAACTCAAAGTCATAACCCAATATTCACATCTCTATGATAGTACATGTAGGTTTGTTTTTCTGTTCTAAAATTTTCAAAGTTCTCATAAGACACAAAACTCAGTAGAAAAAAAGGAATCCACATGCTAACTAGTTAGGCTTTTTTCATTGATATCAGACACTCCTCATTCAATGAGGAGGTCTGTTAATTACCTTTCTCTCATTGCTGAAACAAAATACCCAGCACCACAAGATAGAAGGGAAGGGGTTTATCTGGCTTACATTTCCTACAGGGTTAAGTCCATAAACAGCTGGCTCCGAGGCTGGGATGGCAAACAGGCAACACAGAACACAAATAGCGTGGCACCCCCAAGCCAGCAAAGGTAGTAAGAGAGTTTAACAGAGTCTCCCTGCCCCTTTTATTTTATTCAGACTGCTTAGGGAAGGGGATTCACACTCACACCCTTAATCCTAGTGCCCTGGAGCCTAGCATTGCATCAGGAATCAATTCCAGCTTCACATACTCTAGATCAAGCCTATGACCACATGAGGCTTTGGGGACATCTACATGCCCTGGAGCCTAGCATTGCATCAGGAATCAATTCCAGCTTCACATACTCTAGATCAAGCCTATGACCACATGAGGCTTTGGGGGGACATCTACACCCAAACCTTAACAAGGTCATCAAATGAATTCATCGAAATGAGGAATTGTATAAAGTATGGACATCACAATATTCAGAATAAAGAAATGGTAAAGGGAAACTCCAACTTGATGACTTTGCTTTCATTTGCATAATTCTTACATGCAGTACTGTAATGTATAGTGGAACATAGAACTATAGTAGTATAGGGCCAGAGATTTACCTGAGTGGTTCCACTGGCTGCCTCACAAGCACAAGGTCCCAAGTTAGACTCCCGGTACACACACACACACAAAAAAAAAACCCTACAGTAATATACTGTGCAATACAATCAGCAAAAAATTGCAGTACTGTATAAACAATTCATACTGTACCAAAGAAAGTCAGGCTCTATAAAGAAAATGTACATAACTGTACAAAAACCATGGGCCGGGGATTTAGCAGTGGCACTGCACCTGCCTCACAAGGTCCAGAGTTCGATTCCTGGTGCCGGAGAAAGAGAGACAGATCATACATCTGACCAGTGGATCCTAAGTCCAAACAGCAACCCTTATGGTATTAAGTCCAAATAGGCATTAAACAGGTAGGACACTAAACAAGGACTATCTGTATTAGACATCATATTATCATAATAGCTCAATGAAAATGATTTGTTTTCCTTAAGAACACATGCTTTGCAATAACTCAAAATAAAATACAGCAACCACCAACAAATCATCACATCAGCTGGATTCAGGCAATATTGATACCTCACATGTCAGAAAAGGCACAGGCAAAAATTATTCCAGAAATCCAGGATCTTATAGTAATGACATAGAAAGTGTTCATCAATAATCATGATTGAAAAACAGATGCAATCCAGACATGACCTCAGCAAATCAATAAAGACTTGATTCCTATATTTCCTCACATGCCCTTTCCTGGCATCTTAGCAGCTTCCATGAATTCAAGGGTACACTGACCACACCACTGTCATTGCTGGAAGGTGTGGTTTGAACTAGCAATTTTGGCTAAATAATAAAGAAGCTTCTGCAGGTCATTGGAAGGGACCAATGAAACTAAATATACAAAGATATTACAGAACCATGAACCTGCTTGACTCTAAAAAATCATTGGAAACGTCAAATATTGACAATAAGACTGGTATCAATGGAGTCACTGGTCTGTCCATCTCTGCAGTAAATACGTTGGAGGAAAGACATAAAGTATGCAGCAAAGGAGCTTACCAGCCAGGAGTTTAAGACAAAAATTAAACACATAAAACAATCACAGAGGCAAGAATAGCAGTGATAATTAATTGCTTAATTGTTTCCTTTGGTTTCAAAGTGTGTAGAGAGAGATATAAATATATATATATACAACCTGAGAAAATGTGTATACCTATATATGAGACATTTCTATATATTAAAAAGTTTCAAAGGTAACATCAATGAGTTGTTTATATCTGAGAATTTATTTAACTCCAAATGAATCAGTTTTTGTTTTTATCATATGAGGAACTGTTGTGAGCAAACATTTCCTAGAAATTAGCTCAATAGAAAGGGTGCACTGATAAATTTTTCTGGCCCTTTGGTACAGCTGTTCTGCCTATAACCTATGTGATCAACAGGTGTCATAAGACCGTGATCCAAGTAGCTCCCTTCTGCAGCAAAACAAGCAAACCATACACTTTTCGGGTATTGGGGCAAAGAAGCAACCACATAATGACAAGTAGCTTACTTTTCCCCAGTGTCAGACATTACAGAAATAATTCTTATTTTGAACACATTTGTCTCTTCATGAATGCTGTATTTCTTTGCATAATATGCTTAGTGAATGTTCCTAAAACAGAAGAGGCTACAGGCACTAAAGATAAAATTCCCTTCCTGCGACTAGATCATTAAAATAGGTCGCTAAATGAGAATTGTATATAATTCGTACATTACAATATTCAGAACAAAGACGTGGTCTAAGAGTCGTACATGGAGTACTGCAATGTATAACTGAACATAAGACTGCATGCAGTGCTGTACAGTGTAATCAGCAAAAACTATACTACTGCATAAAAGCAGTATAACGTACAAAAAAAAGGCATTGAGGCTCTATCAACAAGATGTACAGAACTGCACAAAAAAAAAAAAAAAAAAAAAAAAAAAAAAAAAAAAAAAAAAAAAAAAAAACACATGCGAGGGGTTATCGTAAATCCGAACAGCCACCTCGGTCAAAAATCCCAACAGTCATTAAACAGGTGGGTCGTTAAATGAGGAAGATCAACGTCAGCAAGACTCCCCCGATAAACAATCATACCGTGACTAATAGGAAAAGACCTACAATAGAGCCACATTCCCAAGAAAAAGGAGAGGGGTAAAAAAAATACAAACTCCTAGCCAGTAGTCGGGTCAATTCTCAGTGGTTACCACCATTTGGTTGATTCTATCCTCACACGATTCACCTTCATTAACAGATTCTTTTGCAACGCCGGCGACAGGGAAGAGGTCAAAGCAACTAGAAGCCTCGGTGACCAACTCGCAAGGGACTGGAACGTACCCCAGGACACTGCCCACCCACGTGGACCCGGGTCAGTCTCTCGGGGGACGCTTCCGGGGAGCCGGGCACCCAAACCCCCGACTGGGGCGTGGTGGGGAGCCCCAGGTCCCGGCCTGTCCTGTGGAGCCAGTGCTGGGGGACACACAACACGCAGACGGGCATTTCCTCACCCTCCCAGTACCTGACGCTTCGCGAAACCTCGAGCAGGGACAGATGAGGAACTTGGGGAGACCCAAAGGTTCCCCCTCCGCAAAGGAAATCAGCATACCAGAGACAGCTGGCTGCTGCCTTCCAGTCTCGCCCGGCTCCAAGGCCTGCCGCGCGAATGGCAGCGATAGCAAGGAAAAGCAGTTTTTAACTCACCCAACGTGGGCGCCTGGGGTTCTATAGCAAAGGTTGCCATCGCGACGGCAGTAGCTACTCTTAGCCCCAGACGTTCCCAATTTTCAAAAATGGCGGAAACTCTCCGCGGCCAGGCGCGCTCCCTAAGCGGGTTGCGTAACTTCCGTACATGCGCCGTACTCACAGTGCGGGCGCTGGCGTCATCATGGAGGTGGGAGGAGATTTCCCAGGGACAAGGTGAACCAGGGTGGGAGGTGTAGTTTCTCGGTATATATTTTGATCACTCTGTGAACCGCCTAATAAGATGGTGTTGAGTCTCATAGTACAAATTACTGTTTCGTAATTAATAAGAGTTCCCCCACTGCTCTGTCATCAGTGGTCTTTTTCTAGGTTACACCTGGAAAAGTAGGCTTGGTGAGACAGTAGGTTTCTCGTTCCAGTGTGGGTTTCTGTGCTTTATGCATGACACGCTTTTCTCAAAATATATTTTCTACCTTCTGTATGCTTTACAGTTTCTGTGGGAACAGTTTTACATTAACGCATAACTTGTATGCTGTTTTACTGCGTATCAACACATTCAAAAGAATATAGCTAACAAACGTAAATATAAATTAATGGAGAGTAACACCTGTGAATCCACCACACCATAGAAACTTGAAAGCTCCTGCGTATGCCATCCTTGCCGTCCTCCACTGTTTCTGCTGCTTTTCTTTAGGGAATATCGATGTATTGGTCACACATTCTACGTTTATGTAAAAATATAGTTTAGTTTTATTGCTTACAAACTTTATAAAAATAATGTACCGCGTGTTGTATATTGTGGAATGGGTGTTTAGTAAAATCTCTCTCTTCTTCCTCTTCCCCAACTCCCACCCCTACCCCCTACTAGTACTAGGGATTGAATCAGGACTACATCCTCAGTCATTTTATTGGATTTTATTTTTCTTTTTTTTAATTCTTTTATTTTACTTGTTGTATTTTGGGTTTCTCATATATGAAAAACCATGTGATTGTTTGTATTTTTAATTTATTTCACTTAACATTATGCTGTCAATGTTCATCCATTTTCCTAAAATGACTAGTTTATTTTTGAGACAGTCTTTCTCTTAAATTGTTAAACTGCCCAGGCTGGGCTTGAACTTGCTAACCTCCTACCTCAGCACCCAGAGTGCTGGGACTACAGGTGTGGCCCATTATCTCCTTTTTTTTTTTAAGAACACAAACCATACTTAAACTCACTCAGATAATCCAGGAAAATCCTATTTCCATATCCAGTTGAAGTAATTAAAGTAATAATCACACTTGCAAAGGTTTTTTGTTTTGTTTTGTTTTTGCCATATAAGATACATTTACAGGTTCTAGATTTTAAGGTATGGATATATGTAGTACCATTTAATCAGCCAATCACCCATAGGTTGTTTAGAATTAAGATATCAAGAAAGATTCCTCAAAGATTTCCTGTTATAAATTATGATTTAGCCAAGCAAAAGAATGCTATGCATCTGTTTTAAAAAATGAGATAGATTTGATATTTGCATGTACATGTATTGGCCTAGAAAGACCTACATGATCTATATAAAAGAAATTGAGCCACTAGTGGTGGTGCACGCCTGTAATCCCAGCACTTGGGAGGCTGAGGCAGGAGGATCACTGCAAGTTTGAGACCAGCCTGGGCTACATAGTGAGTTCCAGGGCAGCATGAACTACATAGTGAGACCCGGTCTCAAAAAAATACATTAAAAAAATAAAAAATAACAACATGAAGGTCGGGGATTTAGCTCAGTGGTGCAGCTGCCTGCCTGGCAAGCACAAGGTAACGAGTTTGATTCCCCAGTACCAAAAATAGTAATTTAAAAAAATAAATATATAGCGTTTTTTTGTTTGTTGTTTTTTTGTACCAGGATTGAACTTGGGATCTTGCACTTAGGAGGCAGGCAGTGGCACCACTGAGCTAAATCCCAATGTATATTGGGTACAGATGGCCAGGTGGGGAGATTAAAAAGAAGAGGTTTAAATAAAGGGAAAAGTTGGAAAAGAATTTCATCAAACTATTAACAGGAAAGAGTAGGAATTTTATAAATGGAAGGTTTTATGGTCTTTTAGCTTATTTTATATAATTTTGTGGTGATCATAAATTGCGGATTCCTAGAAAATACAAGAGAACCTCTCTGGTTAGAAAATTTAAAAACAGCCCCAGCTCAAATTCTTGCCCTCTAACTTATAACCTCTAGCATACTCCACATGACCCCTGGAATGCAGGTGAAAAACCTGGGGCTACAGAAAACTTGACCTGAAAATTAATTTTCAACTTTCTTCTAAACTCAAACTAATTTTGAAAAATTCAGAAATATATAAAACCTCTAAATGTACTTTCAATAAATTCAGTATTTCCACAGCCTTTGTCTATCATATAGAAATTATTCATCAAATGTCTATTACTACGCAGTATTTATCTCAATATGAAATCACCTTGTTGCTCTAAAAAGCTCATACTGTCTGTTCTTAAAAAAGCAAAAGATTTTTAAAAGTGAAGAAAAAAGATATCCACCTTTAGTAAGACTTCAGAAAAATACATGGTTTGTTGTCTTCACATGGAGAGCAACAGAAGGGAGCATTTTACCACTTGGTCTCAGCATCTCAGCCTTGGGCAACTCAGATGGCTTGGGGGCCGTTCACTTAGACTGTGATGTCACATAATACACACAGACAAGCCATAACTTCGCAGGGCCTGAGCACAGAGGGTCTTCAACAGAGCTTTAGGGTGTTTTAAGATGTGGGGATCATCTCCAGAAAAATACAAAATTATTATCTGCACTGTCTGACCTCTATAAACAATCCCAGAAGTGATGTTTTTTTAAAAATAAGCTTTTACATGTGAAATTTTTCAAGGGTGTGTGACAATTTTTATAGTAAAAATTTTTAAAGTAAAAATTTTATAGTAAAAATTGTGGGGGGAAAAAGAGCCAAACATCCAAAGAAATATTAGTTTTGCAGATTCGCCTGTTATCTTTCAATCAATTAAATGAACCCAATCACCTTTTGGAACAGACTTTCAAAACCTACATAACTTTCAAGTGTAATTTTATGCTGTCTTCTATTTGAACTGTCAGATAGGTGTAAAAGGTATTTGAAAGCCTGGAGAAAGCTTATAATAGACAAATGGAAAAACTGGTGGAAGGGTTGATTTTAGAAAGAGTTGCTGGGAATTTACCTTGAAATAATTTACTAAGGAGGGAAGGCAGAAAAGGTAGAAGAGAGATACTGGTGTACCTTGCTTTTCTTCCCTATTCCACCCTTCATGAGTTAATAAATGTTGGTGGCATTTAATTATGATATTCTCTATAGTTCTGTGTTTTTGACATTTTCCCTAAATTTTTTCTTTTTCTTTTTTTTTTTTTTTTTGTACCGGGGATCGAACTCAGGTCCTTGTGCTTGTAAGGCAGGCGGTGGAACCACTGAGCTAAATCCCTGGCCCTTCCCTAAATTTTTTCAAAAAAAGTCAAGCTTAAACTCTAAGACATTCAAAAGTCACATATTCTGTTAGCTTATGTGAAAACTAAGAGTAAAAAATCAGTGAAAAAAAAAACACTCATTCCTAGATAATTGTCTTCATTTAAAGAAGTAGTATTTTGTTGAAAACAAGTAAAAAAAATCTTGACTTTAAATACCTAAGTTATGTGATATTAATAACTCTGAGACTTATTTTTTCATCTGAATTATGGGAAGAATTGTACCAACTTCATTGTAATTCATGGACTTATTCACCCCATGAGATATATTATTTAATATATACATAAAATTGAATTTTAGCCTAGTAGTCTTTTCTTTCCTTCATCATATTATCATTTAATAAACTACATTGATGTATTTCTCCCTTAATCCACCACACATATCTTTCCAATTTCAACTATGACCTCTACGTGGCTAAACCAAAGACATTTTCCATCTTTATCTTACATAACCTCTTAAAGAAATGTAGATGTTAACAAAAGGAATTATGAAATTTATTATTTTATTAAAATATATCCGCACCTTGAACAATAAAGAATATATTCTAAGTATGTATAAAGAATATAAGTATATATACAAAATAAGTAAAATAAATTTTACATGAACTAGAAACGTTTATAAGTGATTTTTTGAAAGTACACCAATGGAAATAAGACAGAAATCTGCTGACTGTAAATGTTAATATATGTATTGTAAAAATGTAAAACTTCAAAATCTTCTGGTTTACATTACTGAATAACTATGGAGTGATTATGTTCAGAATCCTTTGGACAGGAAAATCAAATAGTCACCTTGGAAATAAATAAATATTCATGCTAGATTTGTTATTTTTAAGTACATTGTTGCTCTCCTTATAAAAGTAGTAATTCGTTGAGTTAATACACCAGTTAATATTATGATACTCTGCTTTGTACTTGGGACCTTCAAGAATATTTGCAGAAAAGATTTTTAAAGGGGTACTTTCTAACAGATGAACAATGAGAGTTGCCAAAAAGCACACTGACAAATTCCGAAGGTTTCTCCACCACCTCTAAAATTATCAATCAGAATTAAACTAAGTTCCCTTAAAGCACACACACACACACACACACACACACAACACACATGTCCTACATTCAATGTACATAATCAAAGAATCAGGGAATAAGACAAAGTAAAACTGCAATAAAAATGTTAAAAACAATACTCCATTTTCTCTGAAATCTTTGTCTTGAGATAATATATTGGTATAAATTGTCTCAAAAAAAATATTTTAAAAAATACTTTTGGGGGCTGGGGATTTAGCTCAGTGGTACCGCACCTGCCTCACAAGTGCAAGATCCTAAGTTCAACCCCCAGTACCAAAAAAATTTTCAGTTTTCAAAAAATTCAAGCTGGGCATGGTGGTACATGTCTAATCCTAGCACTTGGGAGGATGAGGCAGGTGGATCACTGTGAGTTCAAGATCAGCCTGGGCTACATAGTGAGTTCCAGGTCAGTGTCAACTACATAGTGAGACCCTGTCTGAAAAACTAAAGAAACAAAAAAACAAAAACAAAAAAATCAAATATTTCCTGGGTATTCAATGAAATATAACCATTAACAACCTTAAAGTATAAAGTTAGCAAAATATTTTTAAAATTTTAACTTTGTGTAGGTATTGTTTGATATGTTCCAATGCGTTTGCTCTACTCTCTCTTTCGCAGGTTACTAGGTAGGCTCTTTTTTTTTTTTCAATGTTTAAAATGAAATAATACTTTTATTTTTATTTCCCTTTTTAAAAATGGCAGGAAAATCTTTTTGGGGGGTTTTTTTTTTCTTTTTTTTTTTTTTTTTTTTTTTTTTTTGTACTGGGGATTGAACTCAGGACCTTGCACTTGTGAGGCAGGCATAAGCTAAATCCCCAGCCAGAAAATATATTTTAAAACAGCAAAAAACTCCATGAAGTATTTTTTCTTACCTTCCTCAAAAAAGACTCATTATTTGCTATATATAATTTTCTTAAATTTATAATATGTAAGATAGAGGATCAGAACAACGAAGTTCCTTCTTAAAAATAATGAGGTATGACACAGCGACTTCCGCATCTTTCTATGGAAAGTGCAATGAATGTATTGTGTCTGAGACACATCTTGTCTCATACCATACCCCTAATTTAAAAGATTGTACTGCATCTCTGATCTATTTTAGATATGTACAGCAAGCTACCTTTTAAGATTGACAAAATTAACTCTCAAAGCACTTCTGCAGATACTTAATAAACATCTTCAAACAGTAACCAGATCACTACATGCAATAACTAAGCGTACAATCTATAGACTGTGAACAAATTGTATCAAAGCTTCATGTAACAGCCTTTAGTTGAAAATTAAATAGCACTCAGCAAAAGAAAATATATTTAAGGGGCCAAGAGATTTAGCTCAGTGGTTCTGCCGCCTGCCTCGCAAGCACAAAGACCCGAGTTTGATCCCCAGTGCCAAAAAAACAAACAAAGAAAATAAACTTAAACAAATGCCTTCATATGAACACAGAAGGCTCATCCAGCAACCCCTAGTAATACTGATCATGGAGACATCATGAATCATCAGCCTCTTTGGCCGGGGATTTAGCTCAGCTGTTCGGTGGCCTGCCTCGCAAGCGCAAGGACCTTCGATCCCCGGTACCAAAAAAATAATAAATAAATAAAGCAGCCTCTTATTTAAGGGGGTTCTGCCTGGCTTGGCTGGCTTCAACAGCTTGCTCTTGGTTAATTATCTTTGGGCTGCTTCTTCATGGACGTGAAGAGTTCACAACATAAGTGATGGCATCTTGTCAGACTGTGAGGAATCTCCAGACACAACCTGTACTGATCACTTCCAGTTTTCGCCCATTACAGTCTAAGAAAGTCTGCTTCCCAGATGCACATATATGTATACTTTCCAACTTATGCACTCAGTATTTAAGAAGAGTTAGGAATTTTAAAACTAAAAATCTACCTGGTAATCATATTTTTTAAATCATCAAAGACTTCTTGAAAAGTAAATTCTGTTTTAATTACTAAAATTTAGGATAATTTGTATAAAAGAAAAAAAATTTGAATCTTGAAATAAATTTACAACGTACAGAGGTCAATCATGCTAACATGGAAATATTTAAGAAAAAGAAATAAAAACTACTTCAAAAGCTCTTTCTAGAGATAAAATTGTAAATAACATTAGGCATCCTAATAATCCAAATAAAATTTATTTCAAAGCCATAAATTTTCTTTCCTTAAAATATACTGTCCAGTAAAATGCTGAACTATAAAACAGATCACTGAAAAAATTACATCTAAAAAATGACCTTTCAAAATAAAATATTTTCTCACAGTTCCAAAGAGACAAAAAATTATGACAGAATGTTAGGCATCCAAGATAAAAAAAATACAACACATAAGAGAAGAAAAATATCACCTTATTAAAGAACCATAAACTCATAATAATGTAAGAAAAAGCATTTATAGAAATATTTTAAAAATAAAAAATACAAGCAATAGAATTAAATTTTTAATTTAATAATGGAATGGAAAGTGGGCATGTTTTCATAAGAGGATTAAAATTTTCTGTGAATATTGTCACCACTATGTACATGTTGTATAAATCTTTAGATTCTGATACTCGTTGAGTTTGAAGGTATTCATTTTAATCTTAAACATATTCTTTACAAAAATCTTTACCTCTCCAATAGTATGTCAAGTACCACTTCTAGTTTTTTCCTGTGTGAAAATGGGCTGAAAAGTACTGAAAGAAAAGTACTTTAAATGTAACTATACTGTATGCCTACAATATACCAAAAAACTCAATAAGAAAATAAAATTAAATTAAAAAAAGAAAAATACTTTAAAAATGTTTAACCAATTTAGTCTTTCCACACTCCAATATACATTTTAAAAGTAAACCTTTTTCTTCAACAGAAATAAATAATTGGTAATAGCTATTTTTCTTTAGCAACTCAAACAATAAAAAAAATAATAATATAATTTAAGTGGTGCCATGCCTGCCTCGCAAACACAAGGTCCTGAGTTTGAAAACTCAAGACTGAAAAAAAAAGAAAGAAAGTAATATAATTTAAAAATGTATTTCATATACTAGCTTAGAACAATCAAATTGACCTCCATTTCCACTGGTGAAAAACAAAAGAAAAGGAATTTTTAGTAGTCTATTTTCCAACAAGAAAGACACCTACAAAGACCAATTCAAAATTACATTTGTCCATCATCTGCAACTTGTGAATTTCTGTCCCTTTCCGATTCCGGTAGTTTGTCCCATATATTGCTTTTTTTGACCTCTTGATACATACGAAGCTGTTCCATGAAGCCAGAATTTGGACATATCGAAGGCCTTGCATTTTTCACCAAAGAAAAAGCACTACTAAATGAGATTTCTTCGGAATTCATCAGGAAGCCTATTACAATTGCAGCAGCTCTGGAAACTCCTGCATTACAGTGAACAAGAACCACACCATCCTGCAATAAAATTGTTTTAAAACCACATTACTCATTGAAAAGATTAATTAGATCAAGTAGACAGTCTTATATTACATAAAAATATAAAGCAAACATTCTATCTGGCCAACGTGGGTGATTTCACTTACCAACATGTAATTCATTGCAAGCAATGAATGGGTGATTAGTTAATTAATCAATTAACAAATACCTGCTCTCCCTGCCCAATGCCCAGGACTGAAACGTTATGCAGATATGTTTGGAACTTTGAAACACTGCCTTTTATTAAATTAATCTAGTAAAGTACTCAAGAAAGCCTAGTCATTTAGTAACTACATGTATATAAATAAGAAGCTGTACATGGAAGCATGTAGAAACCAAACAAAAACTAAAAGAAAGCTGGAGACATTCCAGGTACACACAGTATTCCCATTTAATAAAAAATAAATGTCACTGGCTTGGACATCTATAAAATAATTGACAAGGAACAAAATTTTCTACTGTTGGACATTATTTTATTCTCAAAGAAAGTAACCTAAAAATTTCAACTTATAGGAAAATAAATGATGGCACAAATACTTATTACAATGCAAAGTGGAAAAGGTAAGCAGACACCACCCTGAGGTCAATAAACAAAAACGTTTCAGGTAATTTGCAAATGATACTTTCCAAGTGAAAAGAGACAGCACAAAGCCAACACTGATGGGGATAATATTACATTAATCATGAATTTGATAGATCTGACGGAAGAGGATTGATACAGCTTGGCCTATCTCAAGCTTTTAAACAGTTAATGATCTAAAGGAAATGTAGTGAACTGTGAGCAGGTCACAAAGAATTAGACATTGTCATTGCTTCATTTCCTGATTCTTCAGTTGGTACAACAAAGAAAGCTGTGAACAGGAGAAGGGAAAAAAAGCACTGAACATCCTCTGTCCAATGGACACATTAGCAATACAATTATCACTACTCATTGGACTATTTTACTTTTGCAAGGCAGTTTTCTCACATTTATGTATCTGGTGCAGAATTCCTTTCCTTGATTTGTTGTAGCATATTTGCAAAGTGCATCTTTTTTCAAAAATGATTAACAACAAAATTAGCTAATATTTTGAAAATCCTTAGGGAAGGATTTAGCTCAGTGGTTCTGCCACCTGCCTCACAAGCGCAAGGACCCGAGTTTGATCCCTGATACCAAAAAAAAAAAAAAAATCCTTATACCAAAAGAGACAAGTTCAATTCTCTTCTCATAAGGTATGTGTGATTCATTTTCAAATTTTAACTGTTTTGGCACAAACAAAACAAAACAAAAATATTCATTACATGCACCTGAAATATTTCTCAATTTGCAGCAACAACTCAGTTTTATGACTTAAGATGTTTAAAAATTATATGACAGTAACTTGAAAATTATCAATGAACATCATTTAGCTTCAAACAAAGTAACCAGGTATTCTAAAGAAGCTTGCAATTGTGAGCTAAATAAGCAAGAGACGTAAGGAAAGTTAAAACTTTAAGTTGGAAAGGCTTGGGTTAAGGCTTTCAGCTCTCTAAGGCGCATAATCACTAGTTCACCTCTTCTTTCCCTGGATACCTGGCCAGTTCCTGGGAAAAAACAGGGAGGACTTTGTTAAAAAGACCAGATGTTCTTAACATCAAGATAAGGAATGTGATGCATTCCGCCCCTCCCGGACCCCTGGCCAGGGCCCGGTTGGGACGTGACTGCAAGCACATTCACCTTTTTCCGCGCCAAAAGTACAGATAGATTTACTACCTTTGTCTAGAGAGCTATATAAACAGCCCACCTAGCCCAGGCTGCTGCTGCTGCTGTTTTACGCCCGGGATTGAGACCTGTAGCCGAAGGGATTGCTGAAGAGACCCGTGCTGTGTTGCGAATGATGCACCTAATTCCTCCAACATTCCGGTGTTGTTGCCAGAGAGCCTAAGGGTAATTTCCCGGATAGAGTCCCTCTTGCTGTTAGAGGACTCTCCTCTTTCTTTGTCCTCTCCATTCTTACTTTTGTTTTCTGTATGCGCATATCCTTCAATAAACTTTCCCTTTTGTACTTATTTAAGGCTGGTGGACGTTCTTTTAGCGGATCGAGCCAAATTAATTAGGAGACCGTGCACGGCAAAGGGCAATAAATAAAATTTGTCCTTACAGAGACACTTTCCCGTGCTATTTTAAATATTTCTTGGCTATTTATTTTCAGTCTTATATACTGTGCATTCAATTTTAGCTAGTCTTTGAAAATGTTAGTATCATTTACTTCTCTTACTACTTTACACAACATCTGCTTTTCTACATACAGCTTTTGATTTACTTGCATGCTACTTTTTATTACTTCTTAGGTATCATATTGTCCCTGAAAGTATTTCCAGAAGTTACTGAATTTATAGTCATTTTTTCCAGAACTCGAAATAATGGCAGTATATAAAGCACTTGGCATTATCCTCTGCCTGGAAGACCTTTGTTCCTCTTCATACAGCTGTCTCTGGATTCTCTTCTAAACAGACTTTCTTGCTCCAAGTGAGCCGGGGGCAGGAGTGACACCCTGTCAATTTCTGTATGCCTCGCACACAGTGTAATTCTTGGCACATAGCAGGCATTCCACAAATATTTGCTAAGTAAATATATTTGTTCAGCTTTTCTGTGAGAAAATTTTGTTCCCCACAAATTAAAATCACCATGTTGCTATGGACAGATAGCAATTATGCTGTGGCATTTCCATTTGACAGTTTTCTTTGTTTCCATACTGTTATGAATAGCTTTTCAAGCTTCTTAGGGGCACCAGTGAGAATCCTTCAGGTATTAGAATAAATATGTGACAGACTGAGCCAAGACCAGGTGTTTTTCTTCTTTTTTTTTTCCAAGTGTTTTTCCTTACATATAAGTTCCAATACAATTTGGGTAAAATGTGCTTTGCAAGTGCTTATAACAGCCCATAAGAATTTTACAATAGAATGAAAATCAATTACTTCTAAATAGTGTTTAAATTAGCTTTCCTCTCCCTCTTTCTCCTCCCCCTTTCCTCTCCCCTCCTCCTTCCCCTATCTGTTTTCTTTCTCACCATCATCTTCAAATTTTGGTAGTTAAAATCTCTCAATGAATGAAGTAAAATTCAGGTGCAGCCTCCTTACCGTGCTGATAGTTGGTAACAAAGTGGGCTACACATTTAGTAAAAATCGGTCCATTTGATGGCACTCCTGGCCATCCACACGATCCACAAGAGCACAGAGCAATATAAACATGGCACTTTGGTTTCGCTATGACCTGTGTGTGTCCTATAAAGGTTCATGTGTTAGAAGCTCGTCCTCACTGTGGCAATTCTGGGAGGTCACTGACCTTTAGGAGGCAGAGCCTTGGAGAGGTGCTGGGTTGCTGGGAAGGCACCTGTGGAAGGAATTCATGTAATTCTCCAGAGGGCAGATTATACCAGCGCCCTCCTTTGAGTTCTGGCTTCCTGTCTGAGGATGTCATCTCTCCCTGTCACACACGTTCCTCCCATCCTGATGTCAACCACTGTGAGGCCCTCAGCACAGCCAGGGCCAGGTGGCCGGACTCTACCTGAGAACTGGGAGCTAAATGAACCTCTTTTCTTCACAAATGGCCTAACCTCAAGAAAACAGACTAATACGCATGGCAAATACAAAACTTGATGAAGTTAGATCTCTTTAGACCTAAAATGTTTCTCTAATGAACCTTTACTTACACTGACAGCAGACAATTATAAAGCCTTAAAGGAAACCTAACTACATTTTACACAGGAAAATTCAGTAAGTAGAGAATTTTATCTCTTAACATTTCTCAATAATGTATAAGATGATAAGAACATGAATTAAGGTTAAAAAAAAGAGCAACTGGAGAACAAAAGAACTGTAGGAATCAATAGATGACTGTTGGAAAGAAAGTTTCATAATGGCTCTTCAAAGATTCATTGTAAAAAGAACAAAGACTGAGAAGAGAACCCATACTTTCTAATTTCTAATTTTGAAGAACTGTAGGTTGAAATAAACTTACCTTCATTTTTGCTTGTTCAACAAATTCAAAACATTCTGGAAAATAAGACAGGATACTGGTTTCAGGCAGATCCAATATAGAAATATTCTTATATGTAAACTCATCGGGGAAAGCATTTTCAACTCCATATGCAACATTGAGAATGTGAGTCACCTTAAAGAGAAAGAAAGAAGAGACAACTTTTAAAAGTATCATGAGTCGGGTTACCTAAAAAGATACTGCAATATTACATCTATCATCCAAATAATAAAAAAATTAAATGTGATGTACTTGAATGACACTTCTTCCCAGGAGCTTTCTCTGTCTGCATCACCCTTCAGAAGTGCTCCTTCTAGATCCTCTACTTGCTCCTCCTACTTAGAGCTTGGGCACTAGAAATCCACCAGGGTAGGGACCTTGCTTGACTTTCTAGTATAAGTAAACCCTTGACTGAACAGTGAGCTTAGCAGACAACACTTAACGTATTTGTCACATAAATCAGCGAATATCCATATAAAATATTAAGCAGGGAAAATATACTCATGGCAAACAACTCTCCTTTCAATAATTACCTCCATATTTTCCTTTATACTTTTTTACCAGTGAAATGGTTGTCAAAATGCAGCTGCACCTTAGAATTAGTAAGCTTTAAAAAACGATCAATGCCGCAGAGCCTCAGCCCCAAACATCCTAAAGAATTAGTTTGGCTGAAAAGTGAGAGCAGGGTCATGAAGGATTTTCAAGCAGCCTCCTCCTACTCCATCCCTGGGTTTCAGACCCTTTCCTAGAGTCCTCTAAGCCTGTGGAAGGAGCCATCCAGAAAGGCCATTAAGAGAATCCAAAGGCTACATGGAGTGAAAAGCCGATCACTCTTAGGATGACAATACTCAGTGTATTTATTCTCTTTTCTTATCCTGGATCTTAAGTTTTGCCTCACCTCAGTATTTCCATGCACTTCCCATGTGTCTCAGTGTCTGTCCAGCCTTGTCACCCTCACAGGTATGTCTCTGGATATGTCCCATTCCTGCCTCCAGCAGAACTGACTAGATTTGGGTGGACAGCTGAAGATAGGCTGCTCAGATTATCCTTAGAAATCTTAAAAATAGGTTCAAAACACAGAGTGATCCACAAAATTGAGAAGACAGCCACTTCCTAAAGCATGTGCAGAGAAATGGAACAAGTCCTGCTATGCAGTGAGATGAATGGAGAAGATGAGCAGAAGGCTGGGGGAGAGGGGCCATCTTGGAAGGCCTCCTGCTGCCCGGCTTCAGGCTCTAATGGGGCATGGCCACTCCCTGCGCAGGGGCCCAGAGAGGCTCCCTGAGTAGTTACACACATTCTCATAATTTTTCATTATGAACAAAGCTAGAAATTTAATGTGTGACATAGTATATGCTATCCTTAGTTTTTCATCTTCCAAGTCCTTTTTTTTCTAGGCATATAGCAGGCATTCAAGGAGAACTTTATTAATAATGCAACCATTATTAGCATTTCTAAACACTAAAATTAACTTCCCATAGAAATTTCTGGGGGGATGAAGGAAGGGGAGGGGGAGGGAAGAAAAAAGGATTAAGATGTGTTATGCACATGTACCAACTCCCCATGATGAATGTAATAATTATTTTACCCTAAGGAACACTAATTTATCGGTGAAAGTAAGACAATGACATTTTTTGTTTTTTTTTTAAATACGGATATACAAGTGTTCCTCTTAGGATATGCAGAGATTCTTACATTTTTATGTAATTTAAGCCCTCATTTCTCATTGTCAGGTAGTAGTAAGTAAAACACACCAAGGAGGGTCTAGTTTAAACTTGTCAGTAAGCTGACAAGTAAAAATTATCAGACTAGTTAATGAACTGATAGTACTTTCTTGGAAGAAATAACTGCATGGACTGATCACCTAAAATTTTTAATCCTCAATTCAAATCAAAATTTTTCCTCAGAGCTGGAGGTGACAAAAATAAATAGAACAATGACCTTATTGTCTAGATATATTCTCTAAATAGCAGAGAAGGAAAAATGTGGTCATTGGTGATAACAATACAAGGCAGAAAGTGTTAAGAGCCAAATAGTGAAACTGTCAGGGGACCGAGACGGAAGAAGAGATGCTGAACTTGCCGCCCTGGAAGCCCTGACACTGCTGTTCTCTCAGCCTGGACTGTTCTTTCTCCATCCAAGCCCTGGCCCACTGTCTTACGGTCCCAGGTGAAATGTCCCACACTCTGAGGGGCCCAACTCAATTCACAGCACTCCCCAGAAAAATCCTCTCCTTGCCGTGTTTTGATCCTTTAGAGAAGAAATTCCTATCTGAAAAGCACCATGCTTTAAGACCAGGAACTTTTCTGTTTGTTGACCTCCATATCCCCTGCACTTAGAAAGGGGACTAGAAGAAAGGAAGTGCCGCTATTTCTGAACAGATCAACGATTGAGACAAAGAAAGTTACACTGCCAAGTTACTTCCAGTGGAGACTCCTCATTTTCACAAACCCCACTTGCTCATGGGCAAGAGTAAGAGGTGTTTCCAAATCACTCCTTTTCCATGCTGCCTGAAGGTTCCTTGCTCAATGGGTTCACACAAACTGGTTATTCCATCTTCTACTCACTTTGTCCTTTGTGCACCTCTTTTTCTGCTGAATCAGACCTCAACTCCACACAATCCTGGATGAGGGCAACGTCCATCTGAGTTAGACAGTCCGCAGCTCGGCTTACCTCCAATAATCGGCATCACTCCACTTCAATCACCCTCCTTCACAGCCAATGCCTGGGCTGCTCTAACTCTAACACCATTAATTTAGGCGTTCCACTTTCTTTTGCTCAGTTACTCCGCGTAGACCTCACAAAAACAACCAGTTTCTTATCTTTCTACTTTCTTAGCAGAAAGCACCCCACCTTATCTTCACTCCCTTTTCTATTTAGCTTACAGTCCACGACCCACCACTTGCTTTTCTATTCATTTTTATAGTTGATGGTCCAATCCCCTACCTCTGTCTGACAAGAGATCATTCTGTACCCAGACTACTGAGCACTGCTGGAGAAAAGACACACAATGTTGCCTTTCATGCTTCACATAAAATAATGACAGCAAACCTCTCTTGCCTCTCAGCAATGAGTTACTGTATTTCTCTGGTAGGTTCTTGCCCTCATTCTCCATATCATCTCTTTCAGAGGCTGGGGATTTAGCTCAGCGGTTCCACCGCAGGCATTGCAAGCACAAGGACCCGAGTTTGAACCCCAGCACCAAAAAAAAATATATATATATATCAGCTCTTTCAAACCTTCCCCACACTCCTAAAAACTTTCAACTCTAACTTTCTATTCTAACATTCAACACCTTATTCCCAGAAAACTTACTACTGTGTAGTAGAAAGAGAGGCCATCATGTAGGGACCTGCAAAGCATCCTATCAAATTAAGCACCTCAACCTACATCTGCACCCACTGAATCCTATTGCAATGAATGATGTGGTCATGCAACCCTTAAGAGGTTCATTCCAGTACCTGTGCTTGGGATCACTAGCTTTCTTGGCACCTCTATCTATCTATAATTCTTTTCCTGTATCAATTCTTTCCTCTACCACTAACCTTAAGCCACACTCAAAACTCCCCCAACTCCCTCCCTATGGCTCCTTTCCATTTGTTCTTTATTTTGTTTTATTTTCCTCACTACCATCATTTCTCACTGTCCCTCTACTTCTCAGTCTTCTGAGATCTGGCTTTGGTCTGCAACTCAAATGAAACTGGTCTCATCAAAAGCACCAAATCTCTTGGTCACGAAGTTCAATGGACATGACTTAGTCCTATTCGTACTTAGGCTTTCTCAGCATCTGACACTGCTGACTCTCTCTTCCTTAAAATACTCCCATTCTTTGGTATCCACAAAGTCCTGTTTTGACCTTTGTATGACCTCCCTTAGCTTCTCCTTTGTTCCTCCAGATTCTTCCTTGGTCCGTTCATTACAGATTGGTGTCACTCAGCCGACAGAGTCTAACAGAGCCCTGTCATAAGCCCTCATCTTCACTGTCCTTAAACCTTTTCCCTAGGTGATTTCACCTACTCCCGTGATTTCAATCACTATTTATAAGCCCAACATTTCTAAATATATATGATACCTGTCTCCTGAACTTCAGACCCCATAGAGCCACACTGTCTACTGAACCCTTTCAGCTCAACGATCCACGGCATCTGAAATTTAAAATGGTCTGAAGGTTGAGGCAGTAAGGATAACAAGTTCAAGCCCTAGACAACCTGGTGACTTAGGAAAACTCTGTCTTGCACTTTAAAAATAAATAAAAATAAAAGGGCTAGGGATATAGCTCAGTGATAAAGCCCTGGGTTCGAGCCTCAGCGTAAAAAACAAACAAACAAACAACAAACTGAGCTCACTGTTTTTCCTTAAAATCTTCGTCCTCCTACTTTGTTCCCTATCTCATGAAATGACGCCAACCCTAAGTTTCAGAGAAAGCTAGTTATCAGTCCGGCCTCCTTTTCTCTCTCCTTCTCCAGCCCCTCTCAAGAGCCCCTCAAATCCACCCACCCTTCCCTACTCCCCCACTCCTAATCTGCACTACCACCATCTTTTTTTAGATTATGGCAGTAGGCTCCTAACTGGTGTCCTTGTCTCTAACTTGAGCAAATCTGTCATCTCTTCTCCACTCTGCTTCTAATGAACAATATTTTTTAAGATTCAGATTTCCCCAGGTAAAGCCTTTCATTGGCTTTCTACTGTGTTTTGGATCAAGTTCACAAAATTAAATCTATATTTACATGGTCTTTTGTGATCTGGCTCATGCTTACCTCTCAAGCCTGTTCCTCGTTACAATTATTTTTCACACTCTCTTTTCCAAGGTTACTGAATTTCTTTTCAGGCCCTGAAAGCATTTGTCTTTTCCTTGCTTTTGGACCTTCACATAAACCAGTTTTTCCATCTGAACACTTTTCTGGCTGCTCCTTCCCCCTTTCTTCAGTGCAAAATGTCACTATTACTTCCTCTGGAATCCTTTCCTGACTTTCCTATCCCAAAACAAAGCAAAAGAAGCCTGGACTAAGGGCATTATCCTCTAAGTGTTCCTACAGCACCTTGCACTTCCCCTCCAAAGCACACAATACCACGTACTGTATCTTATTTGTCTCTCATCTCTCTCTGACCCTCAGGGGATAGGCTTTATGTAAACAGAAACCTCTTACACTCCACAAACCACAGCAATTCCGTGACCTGAAACATGATCTGCTTGATACAACGGTAGATGGTTAAAAATCCTTTTGAGTAAATACTGCAAATAAATAATAAATGGCACCAGTTGTATGAAGGTGGATAGGAGGAAATGGTATTAGGGAAGGTGTGGTATGGAAGTTGGAACTTAAGGCACAGGAAGCACTTCAAACCGGTCATCTTTCCATCACTAGGATAAAATACCAGACCCCCATAGCTTAAAGAAGAAGTTTGTTGTGGCTCATGATTTCAGAGGTTTCAATCCGTGGTCAGCGGGCTGTAAGGGAGACATATCGTGGTGGGAGGGCAGGTGGACGATAACTACTCAACTGACGGCATGTAGGAAGCAGAGAGCAAGGGGAGAAGTGGAAGTGAAAGACACGCTCCAAACGGGATCCCACCTCCGGAAGTACTCTCGGCTCTGAACTCATCAACTAACATGGTCGGATACAGCAGTGAGTTCAGTGCCCACGATCCGATCAGCTTCTGAAAGCCCCACCTCTGAACACATGTGACTTCAGGGGACATTTTAGATCTAAACTGTAACACTCTTTGACAAGGAGAGATGCAAGGAAGTTTACCTCACACGAAGGAACCTCCGAGTTCAGGTTTATGAGGTTATGGAGAAAAGTCTGAGAAGAACACAAAACTTAAAAGACGGATTATAGACCCACATATTTGAATGCAGCTTTATTCAGAGGATAGCCAAAATGTTACCGAATGTTATCAAAGATGGATCCATACAATTTTTCCTAAATAAATATAACAATTAAAATACTTTCTACCTGTGGTACCAGACTTGAAGAAATTTTTTACCTTGTGCTTTTTCAGTACATCCAGATCATGAGCAGCATCTTGTGACCCTATAAGAAATAAATCATATCACCTTAAACATAAATTTAATCATCCTGACTTTTCATATAAATTTGTGCAGCAATTCTGATACCCTTTAAAAGAAAAAAAATAACAACACGGAGGACTTCAGTTCAATTTCCTGAAAGCCAATTTGGTAATATTCACTATAAAATATCCGCATTCTACATTATATATTCTTTGGCTTTCCCACTTCTAAGAATTTTCCTAAAATTTATAGAAGTTGCAATGACTGCTATAAGGATGTTCATTATCATATTATTTGTAATGCCAAATAAAAAACAAACAAAAGCTAACCAACCAAACAAAAATACCCTAAAAGCCCAATAGAGGGGCTGACTTCAATGAAAGATGGTATGATTATGTACTGAAATATGTCCATTACAAATAAGAAGTGAAGAGTATTTATGGCACTGATACATGTTTTCAAAATATTCGGTAACAAAAGCAGATTACAAAATATGATCATTTTATAAAAATCAAGTAGACATACATGGTTAAAAATAGGAAGTAGACAGAACACAGTGTTAACTGTGGTTACAGCTAATTTTTTTCTTCTTTACACTCCTTTGTATTTTTTATAATAAATATCTTCTTCCTTTATTATAAAAGAGTAATAAGAAAATCAAACACCCACAAAATCACTTAGCGCAGCTGGTTTGGGAACAACTCGTATCAGCTCCCACCCACACTCCAGGCCTAGCAGGGCTGTGCCCTTTCAGTCTCTTTCCATACCTCCCACACTTTGAAACTAGCTCCAGTTCATGAGCAAACTCACTTGGGAGCATAACTAATTCAGATAAAGGAAGTTAAACTTTTGAAAAACTGGGGCACTTATAGTTAAAGATTTCAAGCATTTTACTTTCCTGAATTCCTTCGCATTTCCATAGACAGGGCTTTTCTCATCTTCCTTATCTGGGAAATCAGCCAGTTTTTATTGTACACTGGACCCTTGACTTATGAACTTCATTCATTTGCAAGGGCTGACTGTAACTCAGATTGGTCAGTGAAGGCTCGGGCTCCTCTACACAGCCTTCAAAGTCTCTCTCCTTTATACAGGCAGATCTCAGTGTCCTTAGAGAGACAATGGCCAAGGATGTCTCGATGAACCCCACACGGGAAAGGATGTTGAAATGTTCCTTCCAGAGCTCTTTAAGGGTTAAATCTGTATCTGAGACCATCTGGAAGCACAAGTGGCCAGTATTTGGGATGCAACTCAAGACATTTTTCATGAGGTAAAACTAAAATTCCAGTTGTAACCCAAGTAGTTCATATGTCAGGTCAAACATAACTTGAGTGTCCACTATGATTTTAGGTAGCTGTGGGGGTAGCAAGTACAACTATTTTTTGTTTTGTTTTGTTTTGTTTGAGACAGAGTCTCACTATGTCGTTGTGACTGACCTGGAACTCACTAGGTAGCCCAGGCTGGTCTTGAACTCACAGAAATCCTCCTGCCTCAGCCTTCTAAGTGCTGGGATTACAGGAGTGCACTACCATGCCTAGCTCATTATTATTTTAATATCAAACTCACAGGCTCCCTCTGAGCCTACACTCAGCTTTATTCTATTTAAAATCTGGTCTAAACCAGGTGCAGTGGCACATGCCTGTAATCACGGTACTCAGGAGGCTGAGGCAGGAAGATCACCGTGAGTTTGAGACCAGCCTGGGCTACAATGTGAGTTCAAGGCCAGCCTAGACTACATAGCAAAACCCTGTCTCAAAAAACAAACAAAAAATTTGGTCTTTCAAAATATTAACATTTGTTAAAACTGTACGGTAGATATATAACTGTTAGATTATCCTCTGTAATTATCTATAAATTTGAAATACTTCATAATTTAAAAAAAAAATCTCACTTCTCTATTATAGAAAGTCCCAACCATTTTAGAGGGTGGAGAAAGCAATTCAAATAATTAAAATCTCATAGTTTGATATGCATGTTACCTTTTAAATAATTCTGTATTTCTTAAAATAGCAAAAACTGAACTATGACTTAAATGAAATTCTTCCATGTTTTTACATTACTCTATTGTTATTACAAATGCTTTTCAATGTTGGATGCTTTCATAATTTCCATTATACACATTCACACATGCCAAATAGAACAGATAGCCTGATTATATTTCAGAGTTGGCTGCCATATTTTGAAAATGATTTCCAAAACATGACTATACTGATATAAATTAATATTCTTCAGACAAAAAATGTAATTTATATCTTCTGTCTTTTCAAACAATGAGAACACTATATGAGTGTTTATGGTGTGGGAAACAATTTATATTAGCAGAAATGGATTTTAGGTAATCAGCTTGTGTTTTTTGTCTAATACTCTACAATATTCATTTCAAGTTAATTCCTTCTAAATTCTAGATACAAACATCAGCTTTTCTCCAATTTTCAATGAATGCTTTGTGATACAGTCTTATGTTAGTCTTTTAATGGAAAAATATATAAATAAATGCTATAAATTATATATTATGAACGAGTATTTTTAAAAAACTCTTTGTTTTAGAAAAGTAGAATGTTGTCCTTTTGTAAGCTATATTAAGTAAGATCAAAAGCCAAAGACCACTTTAAGAAGTTAATGATTTTAACAGTGGTCACATGAATATATACTTGTGTTAAAGTGCATAGAACTACACCCACTCATTTGACTATATAACTTTTAAAGAGACTTGACTAGGAATGTAACTAAGCAGTGGTCTAATTAATAAAAAATTGTATTTAACATTGACCCAAAGCACTCTAGTATTCATTGTCTTAGATAGGAACCATTATAAAAATGTTACAGATGAGGTAACTGATTTATTTATTTATTTTTGGTACTGGGCATTGAATTCAGGACCTTACACTTGAGAAGCAGGTGGCACAACCACTGAGGTAAGTCCCCGGCCAGGTAGATGATTTTTTAAAGTATATATACACACACACACACACACACACACACACACACGCACGTGCACGCGCACACACTGCCAGAGCTGGAACTTTTAACAAGTTCAGTGTTTTCCAATTACAGTATATGAATCATAACATATAGGCTTGGCAAGATCTCAAGAACCTTATTTCTGCTTTCTAAAGAAATTATTTAAATGAAAATATCAAATAATGTATAAATTCAGATGTAGCTTGTCTTAATTTACAAATCACTATTTTCATAATCATAAGAAGAAAGTTACTACATTATTGCCAAGGAAATAAATGCCATTTTAAAGAAATATTTTATTTGAAAAAATTTTTAGTATTGAACATTCATCAGCAGATGAAAATAGAGTATTAATTACTATAAGGATTAATAACACTCCTGAGAGACTCACATAATAAAGAGCTATAGGAATTTAAAGTATTATTTGCCTCCCAAGAAGAGTGGGTTTCCTAGATTTCAAAAATATAAACCTTACAAAGTATCTCAAGTGTTTCACCTGGAATTGAAGAGTTCAAAATGTTACCATTTTAGTTTTTGTTTGTTTATTTTGCCTTTTGGCATTACTGGGAATCGAAATCAGGGAAATTCTAGGACTATACTACATCTGCACCCCTTTTGATTTTTAAACAGGGCCTTGCTAAATTGCCCAGACTGGCTTTACAATTCTACTGCCTGAACCTCCTCAGTAGCTGGGATTATGGTCATTTTGCCATCGAGTGCAGCTTGGGTCAGACTTTCATTGTTTGTTTGTTTGTTTGTTTGAACAGGATCTTGCTAAGTATCCCAGGTGAGCCTTGAAATGGTGATCTTCCTGCTTCAGCCAGGGGTGCACCACCACGCCCAGCAAGACTTCTTAATCGAGCAGGTATAATAAGTACAAAGTTCACCTTTTAATAACCCATAAAAAATGAAAATTTCTACTTTCAGAGCCATGTGTAAGATGTTTTTCTTTGTGATTATACTTATTCAGTAAAGAAATGAGATTAGTAGGATTGTTTGGGAAATTTTTGTTCCATTTTCTTTTATTTCCCCATTTTATCTTTTCCTGCTTTTTTTACTAGTGCACATTTGAGATACAGACAAGTAGGCTTCATTTCAGCAGATCTGTACACGCATAGGACATACTTCAGTCATTTTCCCTATCACCTCCTCCTCCCTAGTTTCATATGTTTTGGGGGGTTAATGCATAGAATGTATTTTGATCATATTCACACTCCCAGATTTTTCAAGTGACACTAAGAGTTGAACCCAGAACCTCTGCACTGAGCTCTGTCCCCACCATACTCCCTTTTTTTATTTTGAGACAGAGTCTCACCAAATCACCACAGCCCAGGCTGGGCTCAAACTCGTGATCCTAGCTCACTAAGAGTTTATATACTAACTGCAAACAACAGATTACATTTCACAGCTCTATTTTCTTTATATTCCACCAAAAATAAAAGTTGCTTGGTGTGCAGTACTTGGAAATAACCCAGATGCTTTGGCCACGGAGGTGAGGGGCTCTTAGAATTACCCTTGAAACATCCCCAGTCTTCCAGATAGAAACAAAATCTGGACACAAACAATCCCTGCATCATTCATGAGAAAGAACTTTAGGAAGAAAGTGTTTGAACTTAGGCAGAAAAAGCTCATTGTATTTCCGAAGAAGGAAGGTTTTGCCTGATGAAAATGTCCCAAAGACTCTTTCAATCTGAAACCATTACCTTGATCGGTTCACTTTTAATAAATACACATAATAAATAACAAGGTTCATGAACACCCTGCATTGGTGAATAACACGGAAGGATTTTACCATAATTATTTTAAACCATTATAACTACAGTGGAAGCCAAATAACTGGATAAAAATATGCTTAGACATATTTTGTTTCCTAGATATGACAAGCAAGAGACCTGGGTAAACTTTCTAAATTAACTTAAAGGATTTGCTTAATTTTTCACTTGGTGAGAATATGATATAATTTTTTCCTAGACTACAAAAACCAGTTGGAGATACTTATTCAGTTAATTTTTTTTTTTTTGCGGTACTAGAGCTTGAATCCAGAGAGCACTGAGACATATCACCAACCCTTTTTTTTATTTCTTATTTTGAGACACAGTCTAGCTAAATTATCCAGGCTAGCCTGGAACTTGTGATCTGCCTGCCTCAGACTTTTGAGTAGCTGGGATTACAGGTATGCACCAGCATGCCTAGCCTATTCAGTGAATTTGATACCCTAAGTGACAATTCCTGAAATACTTAATACAATAATTTATACAGATGCTGTGATTTATTTGTTAAAAACAAATAAATCCACTTTTACATCAACTTTTACCACAACCGTACAAATACAGGCTTTTTAAATGGCCCAGAGAGGACAAATGATTTGCACTTGGTAATCTTAAAAGATTAGAGGCAGGTTGGAGCTGAAAACTTGATGTGATCTGAAACCATTTAGTGTAATAAGCAAGAGCAGGGGTCCGTGGGCTTGATGCCCAACTCTGTTATTTACTAGATGTGTTACCTTGCGCAAAGTACTTAACCAGTCTTAAATCCCAGTTCCCATTCGCAAAATGGAGCTCACAACCCGCATTCGGAGTTTTTATTTGAAAGGAGCCATTCGCTGTGCTGTCCTCACATAGCACCAGGGTACTTATGACTTCCCGGTCACTGTTCTTTTTTACTCCAGGGTACCTTGGCTGCATAAACAGTGACGAGGCATTTAACCTTCCAGAGCCCTAACTTCTCTATGCATAAACGAAAACATAATTCAAACCGAATCTATTTTTGACGAGTTAACAAGTTAGTACTTCCACAGCTTGGCCTCTTTTGCTATGGGAGGACTGTGGTTGCAGAGATTCAGAATCTCCATACAACAAGAAATCACAGAACCATCAGGCTCAGCTATAAAAGAAAAGTCTTCCTTCGCAACACTCCAGAAACAGACATCAAGGGTAGGTGTGGCCACAGGAGCTCTGTTCTGAATTCTGTATGGTTCCCACCAGCTGAGCGGGCAAACAGGCATACAGCTACAAACAACCTCTCTATAGCTTCACCCTTAACACTCGTTGCTTTGCCTGATAAAAAGCATTCACGATTATGTAAAATAATAATGTTTTTAAAAGCTATGGCTTTTTATAATCCATGGAAAAGAACCGCCCATGTCATCCTCCAGAGAAGTTAGAAGAGGGGGCAAAAAAGCTTTTCTAAAATTCAAATACCAGGTGCCAAGTGCTACTAGAATCCATGCTACTTATGGATTTATCGTGGAAGCCAAAACGTCGCTATCTGCTTAAAGTTCCATATCCAAAACCAGGGAGACCTGCCGGCCCTGGGGCGGCGGCACAGAGGTCAGACGACTGGACGTCGAGGTCCTCTACTCACCCAAGAGCAACCAAGGCTTCACCACGCCGACCTGCAGGTCGGAGCTAGGGTCCTGCACATAGAAACAACCACCCCCACTGCTGGGCTCTACTTCTTGCACCACCTGAATCCTGGCATCTTTCCACGTCTCTACGATTTTCTTCCCCGTGAGCGTGGTCACCCTGGTGCACTGCTTCCTGAGATTATTCCGGGAGAATGCTCTGATTTCCTGGTTCAGGGAGTGCATCCCACGAGCAGAGGCTGGGGACAAAGACAAGCAAAGCAGCTAGCAGACCGGGGCTGAACTGCCGTCCCCTGTGTCCAGGTAACGAGCGCGGCCTCACGGGTGCTCGGCCGGGCAGGGGACAGCAGAGACCCAGACAACCGAGGTCTAGTTCCGGCGCGGCAGTGAAAGGCGAGGTTTGATTGGCCGCTGAGACCCGGGCGCCGATTGGTTGCTGATTCTTCTTCCGGTCGGCTGCGTTTTCCAAACGAGCTGCGTTGTGCTAGAGATTTTCCGTCCTGTAGCGCTTTTGATACAGCCTAGTTATGCACACAGAATGATCGAAGTTAAAACATAACTGGAGAGGTGCCCGTGTCTCCAGGCCCTCTTGAAGGCCACGATTGCTGTCAGTCGTGGATCGCTCCCCTTTTAGAGCAGCGGCGGAGTCCAGCGCGCTCCGTGGCTCAGCCTGCCCCAGGGCCTGGTAGCTGCCCTGTTGTTTTTACTCTTTGCTGGTGTCCTTCTCACTTTGTGATGTCACTGCCGGCAGGAACGTCCAGTAGATGTAATGTGTGCCTCTTTGTGAGGCAGCGATTTAAATAAAATCTGAAAATGGTATTCGGTTTTTCAAATTTGTTTTCCTATGTAGATGATCGATCAAAGTTTAGAATGTATTTTCTGCGGGGCGTGGTGGCAAACTCCTGTAATCCCAACACTCAGGAGACCGAGGCAGGAGGATCGCTGTGAGTTCTAGACCAGCCTGGGCTACATAGTGAGTTCCAGGTCAGTCTCAACTACATAGTGAGACCCTGTCTCAAAAAAAAAACAACAAAAAAAAACAGTTCTAAAATGTATTTTCTGACTCAACCTACATTTTGACCCACAGAAGGCTGAGTGCAGTAAAAGTGCACTTTTTATTAAAAGCATCAAAGCAAATCCATCATTAGAGTTGAGAAAAATTAAGTGTACAGATATCCAAATTTACGAAGCATACATAGTAGAATGACAATTCAGGTTACAAAAGGTTTCTTTCCAAAGAAAAACACAATATTCTTTTAATTTCCCTAACTCTTATTAAAATAAATTGCAATTTTAAATGGACTTGGAACAAAGGATGAACACAGTATAAAGTAAAGAGCTTGCATTTATGAACATTTATTCTCCAACATCACATATTAAAATTTTTCGTTGTTGTTGAAACGTTCTGGCATAAAGTTAAACTACTTTTGACTTTTTGTGGCCCGTCAAAATGCATATGTTGAAGGTATAACTTCCAACATTACAGTGTTTGGGGACCTTTCGGAGGTAGTGGGGGTTAGATTAGGCCACAAGGCTGGGACACTCGTGCTGGGATCGGTGGCTTCCTGAGAACAGGACATCTGCCACTTGCTCCAGGGGAAGGCCCTATGAGGACCCGGGGGTGTGTGGGGGGGGGTGCCTGTCTGCAAGCCGGGAAGAGAGTCCTCGCCAGGAACCTTGAATAGGTCAGCACTTTGACCTTGTGCTTCCTAGCCTCCAGATCAGGAGAAATAAATTTCCGTTTCCACACAGTTTATGGGATTTTGTACAGCAGCATGAGCAGACCGAGATAGAAACAAAAATTTTTCCTCTCAAAAAGAAGGAAATAGCCCAGGATATCAACAAGGCCCTCGAAAATGAAAAACCAGAGAGATAATTTGCAACATCTAAACAATCATAGGTTCAAACAACTGTAATCATAAATCAAACCATATATTTGATCAAATATCAAATACCATACAATGATCACAAATAATGAACAAATATTGAGCTCTTACTGTGGGCTGGCATTGTGCTTAGGAACAATGTTTAGATTCTTAGTGTTCTTCACTAGGAGCCTCACAATGTTTTAGACATAATATCCCATTTGATGTCACCACAAGTCTATTATATACATACTGTGGATGTGATGGGTCTAAATCATGTGGATCTCAACAACCAGGGAGAAGTGTTTGAGTATACAGTATTTATGAGCATTAAAATGGTGTGCTCGATTATGCAGGCTGAAGAAAATAAGTCTGAAGACTAATTAGGAAGTTAAGGTACAAGGACCTTACAGGATATAAGGTATACCCAGGTATAAGGCCAAAGAAAATTAGAGTTATGTTGAGGCTCATAACAAGTGACTCAAAAGTCACTTTAAAAAGTTAATAAAGCTAGCCAGGCATGGTGGTGCAAGATTGTAACCCCAGCACTTGGGAGGCTGAGGCAGGAGGACCACCATGAGTTCGAGACCAGCCTGGGCTACAAAGTGAGTTCCAGGTCAGTCTCACTACATAGTGAGACCCTGTTTCAAAAATAACAACAACAACAAAAAGTTAATAAAGCTACTGAAACAATCAGTATGGGTATTGAAGAAATCAGTTCGTCAAAAATTACTTGGGCCAAGTATTTAACTCAGTGGTTCCGCAGCCTGCCTTGCAAGCACAAGGTTCCAAATTCGATCCCAGGTACAAAAAAAAAATCTGCCATGTAAAGGTACAAGACCCCAATGATGAATGTAACTGTATTGCATATCTGAAATGTACCAATAAAATTTTTTTGAAATCACAAAAAATTACTATATAGTATCTAGTTGGAGAAAATTGAACACTAATATTTCAAGGATTATGAGTTGTATTTTTTCTTGATGATCACTTTATCAATAATACAGTTTTTTTCCCATTAAGTTTATTGGTACATTTTAGGTATACAGTACAGTTACATTCATCATTGGGATCTTATGCCTTTACATAATGTATCTTGGTTCTTATTTTTTCGCCATTCCCCTGCCCTCCCTTCATCCCCTCCACCCTCCCCCATTTATACTTTGTTTCCATTTTTTGTTTTCTTATATTTTTCCCTTCTTTCCTTTTCACTACCACCCCAATCCCCGTACTCCTTTAGACTCTTTCTTCCTATTTCACATTATCAATTATACTTTCCAATCTTTATTTACACTTCTGGTTTTTCATACCAGAGAAACTATTTGGTATTTACATATGTGTGTCCTATTTATTTCATTTAAGAGTGTCACCTCAAGGGCCGGGGCTTTAGCTCAATGGTGCTGCCTGCCTCTCAAGTGCGAGGACCCAAGTTTGATCTCCAGCACACACACACACACACACACACACACACACACACACACACAAAAGGGTATCACCTCAATGTTCATCCATTTAGCTATAAATGTCTGCAGTTTTTCATTTTTTATGCCTGAGTAGTACTCCATTTTACTTAAAAAGTCACACATTTTCTTTATCCAGTCTCCAGTTGATGGGCAATTGGGCTGTTTCCAAGTTTTAGCTATTACAAACTGTGCCGCTATAAACATGAGTGTGCATATATTGCTATGGTATGATTCTTTTAAACCTTTTGGGAAGATACCCAACAGAATAGTTGGGTCAAATGGGACTTCTAATCCTAGTTGTTTGAGATATCGTCATATAGATTTTCACAATGGTTGCACCAGTCAGCACTCCCACCAACAATGGAGAAGGTTTCCTTTCTCCCCCAACCCTACCAGCATTTGTTGTTGGTTGATTTCATGATAGTAGCTGCTCCTTCTAGGGTGCGGTGGAATCTCACTGTTGTTTTCATCTACAATGAGTTATATTTTTCTAGGGAGGAACCTAGTTTATTTATTTAGTGCCTGATACAAGTTCTGCCTGAACTTGGCAGATGAATGAGTGAAAAAAGCCAGGACGTCTGAGTTGAGTTGATGTAATTTATAGAGAGGTAATTCATGCATGAATGAAAAGACATGAACTTCTCAGAAGAGCTAGTTTGGAGATAACCCAGCAAAGGATAATCCCTTAGGGTGCAAACCTCGGAGACCTGAAAATAAGGAACAGGAAAAGACACAGGATATGGAGAAGTTAGAGAAACCAGTTGAAAACCTGGATCGTAGAACCAAAGGTAATATAGAGTTAAAAACAAAACAACAACAATGAGCTTAAAATTGTCCAATGAGGTAAAAAATTGCAAAGAGGTCATTGATACAGAGAACCAGCAGAAAGATAACTTGATAATGTAAAATGAGATCAGCTGGTTATTTTTTATGAAATAGCTTTAGAGTGGGAGAGCAGTAGAAAGAACTATTAAATTAGAGAAGTTGAAGGGAATTGATGAACTAGAAGTAGAGGGAGATGTAGGTGACATTCAGAAATTACTAGATTGTCAGTGACAGAATATTCACTGCCTTAGTCTTGTGCTTAAGAAATGTTGCCCTTCCTTCCTTCCTCAGAAATTTATCTCCCCATAAACATCTTTAATTCTACTAAATATGTAAAATATTTATACAACTTCTATATGACATTTTCATTAAAAAATAATAAAAGGAACAATATGATTAAAGTATTGAAAAGAATCAAGAATAATGTGGAACAATATGAATAATGTGAACTAATTTAATAAAATCCTAGGAGATTTAAATTACAAGAGAATGCATCTTGAATTTTAAAAGTACTTTTATGCTGACTAAAAGGACGTGGGGGTGGTAAGACTCTCTACAGTGTCTTATTTGATACAGGCAAAAAATAAAATAATATTCAAGGTGCTTAAAAATGTTTGAATCATACATGAATTGATCCTACTCGATAAGGAAACCCATATTATTGTATTTTTGATGGATGAATTAGAAAGTTGTAATATGTTCCCTCAAAAAGTATTCTGATTGCCTATATAGCTAACTGGTTCAATACAGTGTGATGTGGATTCTATTTCATCTTCAATTCCCTGTTTTTTCAACTGAGTTTCTGTTAATTTTTCCCCTTGAGAATATTCCTAAATAACTGCATTATTTCTCTGTAAACTTCACCGCAGATGTTGCATATGGTTAATAGTAAACCCAGAATGACCAGAGCTATAAATGTAAGTGATAGCACTCACTATTTTCAAACAATGGTTATTAAAACCATATCATTTAGGCCCGGGGATTTGGCTAAGTGGTTCTGCCACCTGCCTTGCAAGGGCCCAAGTTTGATCCCTGGTACCAAAAACTAAATAAATAAAATAAAATAAAAATCATATCATTTAATATGGGATAAAGTTATGTAAAGTAAAAATCTTTCTTTTCTTTTCTTTTTTTTTCTTTCCTGCACCATGGATCAAACTCAGGACCTTGTGATTTCAAGGTAGGCAGTGGAACCACTGAGCTAAATGCCCAGCTCCAAATACAAATCTTTTTTTTACCCTGATCTCTGAGAGATCCTTCATTCTATTATAGACTTACTTCCTGAAGCTAAGATTTAAAGACTACAACAAATTGTCATTATAGTGATAAATAAGTACTTAATATAAACAGAGAAAAACATGTTAGACCGATAAATCTGGGCAAAAAGCATACAAATTTCACAAATTTTTCAGAGCTAAAATTCTAGAAAGCAGCACAGCAGCAGTACTGAAGTGAAAAACAATAAAAGTTATTCTTGTAACTGTGTCTAGATGTCTCCCCAAAACCTCAAGAGGTCATAGAGGGGCTTTTTTGAAAGTGGCTGGATCTAGAGTGTGTGACACTGGGAATGATTTATGGTGCAAAGCTAAG